GAAGTAAATAAAAAGTATTATGAAAAAAAAAACAAAAAATAATAAACAAACTATTAAATTTGAAAATGACGATAATAAAAATAACGCAAAAAGAATATATTTATTATAATTAAGCCGTCTGTAATGCTAACAACTTAATATTTGGTTAATTAAATCAATTTCCATTACTGTGAAATTTTCCTCTACTATAAGCTTATTTTTTTATAAAATTGCTGGAAAAAAATTAGAAGCAAAAGAAATTTAAAAAATACAATAAAATTCAACAAAAAGACAAAATAAAGTAAACTTTCGATCACCAAAAGAAGTAAAAACAAAAAACAAAGACTTACTTTTATGTAATAAAAATATTCTTAATATTTTCCTATGTTATAGACTCGGTTATAGAGTAAGTAAAATCAAAGTATAAAAATGTAAATAAAAAATAATTTGAAAGAAAAAGAAACAAATAAAAGTAAAAATAATAAACAAAAACAACAATCAAATAAAAAAATATAATAATAAAAATAACGCAAAAATTAGTTATTTATCACAACTGAGCCGCCTACAGTGCTACCAATCTAGTATTTTTTGATTAATTGAATAATTTGTAGATATAAATATAAAAAAATATAAATTAAAAATACATAGAATTATATAACATCAAAAACTAAAATCATCAGGTCCTTAACTCGTTAAGAAACGATTTTCATAAAAATACACTACCAAAATTAAAAAATACCTAAACACAACTCAATAAAATTAAAAACAAAAACAAAAAATACCATTTAGTTTCCTGGCGATTTTCGGAAGTCTCGCCCACTAGGATAGACCTAAAATCCCTATTCAAAATTACTAAAAAACACCCAAATGACCACTCTTATTTGAATATTTTCTTTGCAAACAAACAATTCTCCTAATTGTGTGATAAATGCAGTCCGAAATAGCGCAGATAAAGTCATTTATCGTAGCATCCGTTGAATTTTAATCACTTTCACAAACCGTATCCTCGCATTAACCAGTCAAGATTCAACAATGTTGCCAAACAGAGCGTTTCTTTTCTTCCTTTTCGTGTTTCTGACAAAATCTACAAATTGTGCGGTCACCAATAAAGGCCTTTATCCAAATTTGAGCACTTTCAACCATTCAAGAGCCGGAATTTGCACTTTGGAAGTTCCGTAAGTCGAAAATTTGACAATTTGGGTGCAATTTTAGACAATTTCTCTACAAACTTGACCTTGAGGCGTGTTTATTCGAACAAATTTAGAAATTTCAATGCTAAATCTGGGTTTTTTTGTGATTGTAGGACCATTGACCTGATCAGTCCTGAGGATAGGGCCTCGGGGATTAGGCCACAAGGAAATGGGGTACGAATTTTTTTATTTATTTTTCTTAATAATAATATAAAAATTTACATGAATTTGTGTTGGCAATGAACAGATGATTTCATTTGTGTTAAATGCGTCGTCTAATCGACGACTTCGCTGGAATTGTCGAGGTCGAGGCGAAATGATAAACAAATTCAAAGAAAAAAAATTAACAGAAAAATCACAATTTGCACTTATTTACTTCTAGGAAAATTAAATTTGATACCGAGCTGTTTTAATTAACGCTACTTGCTCCAAGTTTGCATCTAAAACTTTTTAATAAGGCTCAAATTCCGCGAATCAATGTGTGAAACTCGATAACTGAAATAAACTTAACTTTTGCAACCCCTTTTCCAATAATTCAGCAAATTTCATCATTATTACCACGAAATATTTTTTTCAAAGACAATAAAAATAAAATTGCCAAATTTAAATTTCCGGCTGCTCTAAATTTTTAATAGTTGTAAAAAATTCAAATTTTGTGTCTTTTTTCCCAATTGTATCATTATTACCACAAAAAATTGCTTTAAAACAATTAGGTTTCCAACATTTAAATTCCCCGCTTTTCTCAATATTTAATAATTATTGTCAAAAACTTTTGACAAAAAATTTACCTTAATAATATTAAAGGTGCTAAAATTCAAATTTCCCATCATTCCCAATCTGAAATATTTGTCAATAATTTAAATTTCCCACTTTAAAAACAATTTTCCCCCTTTTTTCAAACTATATTATTAATTCCACAAAAAACTTACTAAAAAAACATTAAACGTGTCAAAATTCAAATTTCCTGCCTTTCTCAATATTAAATACTTGTCAATAATTTAAATTTCTTGCTTAAAAATAGCTTTAAAAACAATTAGAGTTAAAAAAATTCATATTTTTCACTTTTCTCAATCTTTAATATTTGACAAAAATTCAAATTTCCCGCTTTTTTCACACTTTTTCCTTTTAAAACATAAGAAATGTCAAAATTCGAAATCCCCGTCTTTCGCAATCTTAAATATTAGACAATAGTTTAAAATTTCCGCTTTAAAAACATTAGAAGTTGCCGAAAATTAAATTTCCCGCCCTTTGTCAGTATTTAATAGTTGTCAAAAATTCAAATTTCCTGTCTTTTTTCTAAATTGTATCATTATTTCCACGAAAAATTGCTTTAAAAACAATTAGAGTTGTCGAAAATCAAAATTTCCGCCCTTTCTCAGTTTCTAAAAGTTGTCAAAAGTCTAATTTTTCC